TTTTTATATACATACATACATATTTGTGTATATCAGCTTTGGGAAATAATAATAAAACGGAAAATGGAAATTGTAATATGAGTAAATAGTTAATACATTATCAAATAAAATACTGAAAAAAATTTTAATAGAGTGGAGAGCATAGGCCCGTATTCGAAATAGAAATGCAATATGTTAGATAGTCAGGCCGGCTTACGAACATCTGGATCTGGACAAATGAACATGTTCTCTGTGAATGTGTCGCTCTCGTTATATGCAGACTGGCCCCCTTTATTCATGAGAGCTGGCTTATATTTAATAATAGCTATAATCAGGGCGCGAATTTTGTGGCATTTGACTTTGTTTTGTCTTTGAAATTAGAATAAAATGAATGAAATATTTGTGTGTTTCAAGCCTCCCCGAATTATTAGAGCTACATTTGATATTTCCTTTCTTTATCCTTTTTAGCCGAAATTGCTTTTTTTTTTGTTTTTACTGGCATTTCTTTTCCTTTTTCGATTTTATTGCGCCTTTTAGCGACTAAAGCCTTATTGATTGTTCTTAATACGGTATTCACATGAGGCGATTTCCCAGGCAATTTTAGAGGCGATTAGTTAAATCAAAAGTTAGCTGCACCCCAACTTAATTGGAAGCGATTAGTTGATAGAAGAATTTAAGCTTCAAAATAATAATAATAATAATAGATTGGCACTTACACATATGTTAGTGTTTGGCCGAGCTTCTCCTCCGATTTGTGGCGTGCGCCTTGATGTTGTCACACAAAGCGGAAGGACCTACAGTTTTACGCCGACTCCGAACGGCGATTGTAAAAAAACATTTGCACTTTTTGTTTATTGTTAAATAATAAATTTTAAATAATGCAAATCAGTAATAATATCATTCTATCTTGAAGTGACAAGAATTACTGACATTTGAGTAAAATTATTGTTGGAATCTATTAAATTTTGACAAAGTTATGGGCATTTAAAAAAAAAAATTGTCACTGTCAATTCGAATAATCGATTTTTGCCTGAAAAACAAAATCGCGTTTAATTCGGCCGAAAAATTTTTCCGAGCCAAAAGAAAAAATACGTGTCTCATTATTTGGACCAACAAACAATGTTTTTGAGTTTGGTCGAAATTAAAAATCATGCTCGTACCTGACCGGTTGCGTGGAAATGGAAAGCATCTACTATTAAGCATTGCAATATCTGATATGTATTAAGATATTATTTCACACAATTAGTGAGAATTGCATCTTGTAATTTGTAGGGTGTGGCGAAGCCCGCGGGGTAAGCTAGTCATGAAATACTTTCTTAATCACTATTTACTTGATTGCAATAGTCTTTCATGAAGAATCATAATTGTGTATATGTCACCACAAACAGCAGGTTTTTCTATCTTATCACAGCGTACTTGAGCGTAAAATACAATGAACCGATAATAATATATTTACGTCAGTGTGTAGGTATAGTGCTTAACATAATTTTACGACACTCTCGAAAACATATAATTTGTTCTTTACCGAAAACCATATAAATCCAAGTTAACGTTTTCGTTCAACATTAAAAAAAAAAATCAAGAAACTTTCGTAAAAATTTCGAAATCTTTAACTCGATTTCCTAGAAATATTTAAAGTATCCGGGATTTTCCGCTGATTTCAGAAACTTTTTCTGTCGAAGGTGTTTCTTATTGCTTGTTGCTTTTTTCTATAAGGCCAGTATGCAGCTCTCAAGAAAAGCAAAAACTCCACATAAAATGACGTACACGAAATGGCTAAGAAATTCTCTTGTGTGAAATTTTCTTGAGGCAGTACGCAGTTCTTAAGAAATTTGCTACGCTTTCTACTGCGGTTTTATACTACGGTTTTCTAAAGTTTTTTTTTTGTGAAAAAGGAGCACAAGGCGACCCATGCTTGCAACAGAAAGAGTGTGGCAACAGGCTGGTGCAGTATCAGATATCAAAATTCCTTGGACACACACACGAAATAATGGCAATTTTTTTCTTGACCGTTTTCTTGAGAGCTGCATACTGGCCTTTAATTAGTATTGCATAAACATTAAAACTTGGGTTTATGCGGTTGTTGATAAAGAATATCTATGTTTTTACAAAAAAATAGCTAAAATTAAAAAAAAAACTAACAAAATAAGTAGTCAAATCTTGTCAATATGTGAGTGTCGTATGGTTATGATAAGCACTATATGTATTGTAGTTGTTAGGCGTTATCACGAAATACTTATATCTGTACTATTGCCATTGTTCACAACGTTAACAAAGCTCGATAAGTGCTTTCATATTATAAGTAGCTACTATTTTTATTGGCACCTTTAATTCTTTTTCTGTTAGGCGGTTGATGGGGGACAATCCATTGCGCCCACTGTCTGGTGTTGCATATTGTTTGTAGAAGTGGACTGCATTGAACGGTGCAGAGGTGACGGACTATTTTTTAGTACATTGGCAATTATATTTTGAAAATTCTTCACAAATACGAAAAGTGCTAGAACTCAGAACGTTTAAAAATGCATATAAAACATTTTACATCACAACTGCTGGAAAAGTAAAAATAAATAAATGCAATTATGCCTTTGGATGTGGAACAGGAGAAGGCTAAGCAGCCGCTTGACGAAGTCGATTTCAGCAGCGGGTTCGAGACGCAATACCTGCAGGAATATCGGCCTTCGAAGATTGTGCGACCGGCACCGCCTGACCCGAGCCTTGCTTGGTATCATGATTTTAAATCGGTGGTGATGGTTTGCTTTCTTTTCACGGTGTTGGTGACTGGCTCAGTTCTGCTGATCGGCTCAATTTTCTCGGCCGATCCCACAACCGTGGTGGTACTCTTGGTGGCCTATTTTGCTGTGGCACTTTTATTTATTTGGCTGGAAGTATTCAGTAAACATGTGCGTTGAAAAATATAACTACGGCAGTTGAGAGTTTGAACAAAATATTATAATATGATTAAAAAATTCAACAAGAAGTGCAACAAGTGTACTGCAATGTAAATACACTATCTTTTTAATTCTTTCAAATGATATTTAATACAAAATGAATTTTACTGTAAATTAAGTTTTTTTTTCTTAGAACTAAAGTGACTTGCTGGCTCAAGTACATACGTATGTGCATGCCTAAATTTTTATTTTATTTTCGAAAATGCGTAGCACCGCCAACAAAAAGAGTTATCACAAATCACTGGGATTTTTTATCAACTTCAAGCTTGCAATTTATTGTATTCAAATCGAATGTGCTATAAAACTGCGTACCCATTATTGATGTGTAAACAATTTAGCTCTCGGTATGGGTAAAAATTTCGTTAACCAAGCAGAAGATTTGTAAAGCTTCTTGTATGTACAAATAAACATTTCTGGACTAGTTCATGGCTATCTCAGGACCATTTCAGATCCTGTTCGGGAACATTGCGGGATTTCGCGGACTTCTTCTTTTTTATTGGCCCGCCAGTCGTTTCTCTACTGTGCTAACTGACGTCAATTGGCAATGGCAAGTGAAGCCAAGTCCTTCTCGACTAGGTCTTTGCAACACAGAGGAGGCCTTCCTCTTCATCTATTACCAGTATGGCGACCCGCGTTGAATACTTTCAGAGCTGGAGCGTTTCTGTCCATTCGAACGACATTAAATACGTGACAAAACTCCTAAATACAGTTCGGAAATAAAGCCTTCTCAAACTGTGTTTTAATCACGGTTGCCATTTTTGGTAAATTCCGCTTTTTTAAAATTTCGATTGGTTATAGCAAAAATATGGTTCATTATGCTCTACAAAATCTGTGTAAAATGTGAAAATGTTTGGTCAGTATCCTAGGCTCGCCCAAGTCCATCAAAGTTCAAGTACTAAAAAATTTTATTTTCTTAGCTAACTTCAATTCTCTGCAAAAAAATGTCCATATACCAAATTATGTAGGACTAATACTTTCGAAGATTATTGCAATTTTAGTAAAAAAATTTATTAATTTATTTATTTATTAATTTTTATTTTTTGAGCATATTGATTTATGGAGAGTTTTACTACCTTTATATTATATTTTATATTTGTATTATATAAAAGTATGAGCTTTACTCTTTCAAATGCCGTTGAGTTTCGGGATTATTTTCCCAAATAAACAAAACTCTGTCGCTCCGCCGCAATGAGTTATATATTGAGCTTAAAAATATGCACTACATACGCTACAGGGGAAATGGACGACACGCCATTTCTTTAAATTGAAATAAATGCTGCTATATGTATGTTTGTATGTACATATTAGGGATCTTGCGAATGTGGAATTTTAGACATCCGCGGATGCGAATGCGGATGCGGGTGTTTAAAAGCTAACATCCGCGGATGCGGATGCGAGTGCGGATTTCAAGTAATTTTTTATGAAATAATTTAGAGGACTGTAATAACTTTGAAACAGAAATAACGAACGAAGGTTACCCCCTCTATTTGTATTTTTTTTTATAATTTAATACTAAAGAAATTCATATACCTGACCCAAGGTTTTGTTCTATGGTAATTAATTAAAATTTTTATTGAAATATTCTTCAATAGGTGATCTTCCTCGTTTAGACATTTCCGTTTTAAAGCTATTTAAATCGATTTCAGTTGATACCAAACTTATTTAATTTGGATAAGCGGTTTGTTTATAATCCGGAAAGGACTTTTATTTCGGAATAAAAATTATTTGGCCAAGTTTAACTCGTAAAAAATAATTGTTATTTTCGGTCCCTTCAATATTCGCATTCGCAAAAGATCCGCATTGATCATTGCGAATGCGAATGCGAATATTCGCAACAACCCTGGTACATATGTATGCATGCAAATGCTAAACGTTAGCACAAAACATTTTACTTGCATAGTATTCTGTCCTCTTTTCACTGCAAGCTGAATAATTTTAATATCTATTGCAAAATTTTATACATACAAGACTAAAAAGTAGAAAACAAATAAAAAAAAACTCAGTGCGTGTAGTCCCTACGCGCGGAGGAAGTGAAACTTAATTGAGGAAATGCCAGAAAGAAAGAAACGTGCGATACACAAGCACATGTACATATTTTCTAATATACAAAAAACATATTTATTTAAAATTTTGTTTACGACCTTTAATTTTGTATCTTTTATAACCAACTGGAAAGTTTAATTATTATTTGTGGCTGAAAACACATACATATCTACACTGTTAACTAGCAGATTGTGGTAGCTAAAGTAAGATATGAAATGATTTATTTCAATATTTTTGATATTTCTGGAAAAACCCGCAATGGTAGTCGCTCCTTTGGTTGTTGGATCATTTCCACCATTAACCATTTCCAGTGAAAATTTTTCTTCAAAGAATTTTGTCAGTTCGTCAGATTCATCTGCATCTTCATCTTCATCTTAATTTTCATGTTCATGTTCATGTTCATGTTCATGTTCATGTTCATGTTCAT